TCATGAGCAATCGAACAGCCAGAACCAAAAAACAGCCCATCCACATATCTTTTATAGTCCTCCATTGACGTCAGGGACCTTAGTTTTAGCCAAATGTGCGTGCGAAAGTCCCCTTCGTGACTTTCTCTTTTGGAGCCAGATTTCCTGTTATTGTAATTAAGCTACCATGGGAGAGGGTCACCATGACCTGATATGAAGTTTATCCCAATCTGACCACTCCACCCATAACCTGTTTTCTTGCCTCATGGTAACCTCCAAAACATCCAAACATATCTGTTATTTTCCCCCACATATCCCCCCTTTGAATCTTTTCAAGATTAACCAAGTTCACTGACGCCGTTGGAGATTCACACTTATCTTGTCTTAGCCTTAGTTACGTTACATGAATGAGTTATGACAACGTTATGTGATATGGTACTACTTGATTGATTACAGATGCATATGTATGTTTTCAAACCAATCCAACTCATGCTTGTGATCACGAATGTTACATTTTCACAAATACAACACTTAAATCACTTGTGACTTGGTTCACATCTGGCAGGGGCGAAAACCTGCTGGCTGCTTTGAGCAGGAAATTCCCCTGCGGCCCCTCCCGCTGGCGACCTTCACCGTGAACCTGCTAAATCTAACAGCTTTTCACTGACCCACTCTACATGACAATCAACCACATGTTTTATTTTGCTCAAAAAATGATTAACCATTTCCTTTACCCGTTTCCATATACCTGGACTGAGTATGTGTAAATGATGTGAGTATGCAGAACACACATGGATAACAACAGAATTTGTGTGTATTGATATGATAGTCCATTTGCTCCGTCGTCCCATTCGCTTTTCCTTTTGCTTGCTCGCTGCTGCTGCACCTCTGCTTCTTGTTTACCTTACACTTGACTCAGTCCGTCCTCATCAGAGTCACCCACACAGGCAGGGTTTGGGTATAAGTCCGTATAGTCCCCATTTCCTGCCCTGCTGTCGTTCAAACGGAGTTGTGCCATTTGGGACGGCGTCAGCAAGTCCAACATTTGAGCTTTTTGGAGACCAGCCACCACAGTCATCTGTCTTTCCAGAGCCCGCAGACACTGCCTCCTCAGGATGGGGATGATGCAACATATCAAAAAGGAAATTAAAATTAGGACTGCTAGTGCACTGAGTCCTATCTTAGCCCAAACGGCTCCCCATTTTCCTAAAATTTGGTCTAACCAATCCCATGACAGTCCCCCCTTGCCCGCACTCTCCCTGAGCTCAACTCTGAGTTCTGTAAGCTTCCCCATTGCTACAGGAAATATACCATCAGGGGCTGTATTATTTGGAATAAAGGTACAACAATGTTTCCCGAACATGTGACATACTCCTCCCCTATCCGCTGTCAGCCAATTCAAAACCTGTCTATTTTGTTGGGCCATTATACTTGCTGCGTGTAACTGAATACCGAGAGCGCTCAGGATCTCAGATGTCGCATTAACAAACCTCTGTTGGTTGTAATAAATGTAATCTATCCATTGGACATTTTTATTAGTGGTGATCCAAGGGAGAATCGACTCTAGACCTACTCTAATCTCATCCTGAGCTTTAAACTCCTCTGGAATTCCTATTGGCACTCCTATACTATTGATGTACACCTTTTCGTCAATCTGCCTTTTATGGCGGCTCAATTTGGCTGTTTCTTCCCAGATTTTAAGGATCTCCTCGACGCCGTCATGCAACACGACAACTGACACTTTCATTCGCACTAATGTACAGAGCCCAATCCATTTTGGTGGAAGTGTGTTTCGCACAATGTCTCCACACATCCAGTAACTGCCAGCTACTGCAACAGTTTGACTTGCGAAAGAAATGCATATTCGGTCTGGTCATAGTTATGTTTTCACATGTTCGATCTAACGTTTGCTCTGGATTTTCAAACCAAACAGGTCTAGTTATAAACGGTTCGCTCATATTAGCTTCAGGAAACCATGACAATACCCACGTAATTTTACAGTTAACAGTTATGTTTTGGTATGGAATGTTTATGTGTTTGAGCTCAGCTGAGAGTGCTGGCTCAGAGTTTAGCACGTCATGGATTGGTGTCTGTGTGGTTGCATCATACTCATCTGATTCACATGCTCTGTCTCCTCTGTCGTGCGGGTTGGTCTCTGGCGTGGCTCTGGTCCCCGGGGTGCTCTGTTTTCCCCTTTGAGTCTCTAGCTCCACTGCTTCTACAGGCATCCATGGAAGAGAGTTCATTACCACCAGCACACACCACAATGTCATGTTTTTCATCTTTGTTTTTCAACTCAATACCGCCCTTGGTTTTGCCTGGAACCTTCGTGCAGCGTGACAGGTGATACCACGTCCCGCTCCTTTCGACCAGGACTGCTGTGGGAGTAGCTCGCACCACCGTGTACGGTCCTTCCCGTCGTGGTTCGTGCCACTTCCTGCACTGAAGTAGAGTTCACCAGGACCAAAGTGCTCAGGTCTTCTCCTCGTTCTTTTTGCCACCCTCCTCAGAGGACGGTGATGTACACCTGGTGCTCTGGCTCGCCTGGCCTCCACCTCTTGACCGGGATCAGATTTTGGCTCTCCTCCTGCTAATCGATAGATCTTTGCATCGAAGTTAGATGCCTCATATATTTAATTCACTAATTTTCAGCTGCTCAAGCGAAAAACTTAATTATTTAGCCGCAGTAAAGCATAGCTTTGTAAGTTAGTCAATCATGCAGTGAAAGATTTATCTCAGTGCTTTTGATTGTGAGAGCTCATAAGCGCAAGTAGCAAAGCATCTTCCTATAGGTTAGTGTTAGTGCAAATTCTCTGATCAGATATTTACTTGAGAGATTAACTTTCTTCCCCAAAATGATGTACCAAATCATGCAATGACAGATTTATTTTGACTCCAAGATCTTTTGATGGTGTTGCTTCCATCCATCGACTGAACCCGTCATCCTTACAAACATGTAACATCTCCCTTGGCAGTTTTAATCATGTCCACATTGCCTATGAATAGATTTCTAAAAATGTCTCTCTGGAACTGGAAAAGTGTCCCACTTCCGTTTTATTGTTCTCTTCAATTCATCTAACAAAACGCATATCACAATGACCCAAAAGTTTATCACCTATTGTCAGCATATTCTAAAAATGTCGTTTTAATTGTCTCATCATCTCCCCCCTTTCACAGCGTGAATCACTGTGAAAGTCAGATCCTAAGTCTGTTTGTTAATACTATTGGTACAAAGCTTAGTTATTTGACTCTAAACCATTTTCAGTGGCCTTATTGACCTTTGATAGCTTCCTATTACTTTTACAGGTGGCACATCTGTGAGGAGTGTATGTGGATTCAGCACAGCTGCATTTAGATTTATCAGTATTAAACTAACAGAACAGGAATGTTACAATGTTGATGTCACGATATTTACTTTAAAACTATAAACCATAACTGTCTACTTACACACCTTGCGGTGAGCACCAACTTTGAATGTTACTTCTACATAGATCCTTTCGGTCTATAAGGTCAACAGGGTTAGAATTAAAACTAACAATTAACTTTTTCCATCATCCACAAAAATCACACTGTAGTAAGCCACCACTTTCACATTGTCTGGGCTGGGGCCCCCCACCACAGCTCCAGCCAGAGACGTCCCTGGTCTGGGCAGTTGTCAAAAATGTCTGGTATGATCACATCCCCAGCAGGTCTTTAGACGTCACACGTCCGTCAGAATTCCACTCTCTCCCCCTGCCGGGATATATCCTCTCTATGGAGCAGGGTTCTGTCTGAGGATAAACATTCACAACAGGTGATTAAACAGGTTACTGTCACAGGTTTTACCGCAGTTAGCATCTGCACGGTCTGCATCGCTGGGTCTCTTTTTGCAGTGTCTTCCTTAGAGGTGGCTGTTTCAACTTCCGCTTCCGCTTTCGGTCTCCGCTCTTCATCTGGCAGCACCCTCCACATCACATCACACATCACATCACAATATGCATTGAACTCACTCCCATCTCTCATGGGATTCGTCATTCAACCTTGTTTTGCCTTGCGCAGAAACTCCTCCATCGTCTTAGTTCCCAGCAGTTGAGCCAAGAGTGCTTTCATGTCTGGTGTAGTCAACATTTTCCTACAGTTCATCCTCAAAAACTTGTATCCATCTCCCTGCCCCCTGTTCAGTTCGTGGTAGTCTGGCAATCAGCCCAACAAGGTGTTTGGTTTTCCACGGCACATAGCTAGCCTGTGTGCCATTTATTAAGATTGAAAACATACTATCAGTGCATTTCCAAGCGAACATAATCTAGGCCAGGGGTGTCAAACTCAACCACAGCAAGGGCCATAATCTGGATTTAGGTCTAACCTCAGGGTCAAACAGGATCAAAATTTCACTAAAACTGTCAATTTCCTTTTCAAAACATATGGGAGGAAACATAGCAATGATTTTAAATCATTTGGAAATTCAAAAGAGATAAAATAATAATAATAAATAATAAGTCTTGAGGCAGCCTAAGATAGAAAAATTTTAGTTTTTATTCTATTCTTATTTATTAGTTCAAAAGATCAGAGCATGATTTAAAAAGAGAAAAGTAATGAGGAATGAGGAATGGGGGGAGAAGTAATGCATTTAAAGAGCAAATACACAAGAAGACCGTTGAAATCAGGTTCAAAAAGGTCCCAGTATGACTTAAAATCTAAAATTGGACTCTAAAGTATAAAAATGACAAAAATCTAAGTGCTGAGTTGAACACGTCCGGTACTTTTAGTTCCATATCTCTTGTTTTTGCGTGTTTTACTTTTCTTTATGTTTATGGTCTTAGATTCGCTGCTCCAAATCCTCACACACAGCCACATCAGATGTGCCTCCCCTAGGTCATAAAAATTCAAACCCCTTGTCTCAATGTTCCCATTTCTTTGTAAGTTTTTGGATATCATTTAAGTGTTCAGTATATTTACACCCTACCAATGTGTATCTAATCTTCCCTTTCTGGTCATGCTTTTTGTAAAATTTATTATTCAAATGAGCACACACATTAAAACTTGATCAGCAGTTTTGTAAAATTCCCCAAAAATACACAGTATAAAGCTTTTGCCTCAACTGCAGTTCTATAGCAATAGACAGTATTGATATTAACAGCTTCAATAATATTTTAAAAACACAGTATTTTGGCAAAAACAGCAGATGTATAGAAGCAACTCTTAGATTTGAAGTTTTTTAGAAGTTTTGCACTTGTGGTACCTCATTTCTCTTTCCTTTTTGTATCTTTTATGCTTTTACAAACATTATTTCAGCAGCTTTAACACAGAAAATTTGTTAAGTAGCACAAGACGTGTTCACAACAAAAAACCATAATATTTAAGCATAAGCTAAAACCTTCATATCAGGAGTGTTCATCATGGTACTGGGAACAGAACCTCTTTCCCAGGAGTATTTAACCTTCTATGTCTCAACTGATAACATGACCGCAATGAGCACAGTATTCACATAAACAACTATGAAATAAACACAAGTGTGGAACACAGCAATCTTTGACTAACATAGCACACACACAGGTGCAGAGTCTGACTGTGAACACTGCCAGAGAACTTAGTTGACACAGAACAAAACAGACACACACAAACATCCAATCAACCCACACACTTCACTCTTTCATCTCACAATGGTATACCCTTTCACACGTGTTTGAAGTCAAAGTCAGTCACTGGAGTCAGTCAGCAGTCTTCTATTTTAATTCTTGTTTTGATTTCTTCAATTTTTCCAATTTGTGTGATTTTTCCAATTTATGTGATTCTTCTACAATCGGTCAGGAGATATGGGACGTGCTTGTTCAATTGGGATCCCTGAATAGGCTTTTCGGCCTACCCTTATTGACCTCTTTTTCTATCTCCTGCTCATCAAGCCAATCTGTATCTGTCAGAGCTCATAAAACAAAAAATTGCCCAAACTCACAGTTCAACAACGGACAGACACACTCGTGCCTGCCACTCCCCTTGTTATCCCAAAAATTACCCAGAACCTTTTATCACCAGGCATTCAGCTTAGAAAACACATCACAACCCGGGCCCGGCTGTCTCCCCACGCTACTGGCCAGTGCTTTCCTGCACCCAGCCTATAGTTTCTCACATAGTCTCACGCATGTAGCAGCGTGAGGCGGTCTGACACAACCAACTGATTCGAAGAGGACAGAGAGCAGTAGTCCGCACCACCTCACAGGGAAAAGAACTCTCAACCAAATTTTAGGAAATCTCCTACCTTTTTCTTTTTGTGGCCACAGAGTGTCCTTATCCCATGTGAAGTTCGCAGAACCATGGTCCCTTGTCCCCCGAAACGAATTCTGGCTAAATTATGCCACTGGTTTACCCAATGTTTATATTTATAAAACAATGCTATGTGTGTTTTAAAATGCACACAATGTTTATATATTTGTACTGCAGGTACGATAGTTTTAATATTCAGCTTGCTGAGGGAAAGGAAGAGAGAAAAAACAAAAACTGCTCGCCAGGTCTCGGAACTTTAGGGGAGAGAAGGGCGGGGGAGCTCTCACGAAGGTGGGGGCTCCTCACCGAGTGAGGGCTGTATGTCTTGGATCCCAAAAAAAATGTGGGGGGGGGGGTTTCTCACTAAATGAGAGTAATAGCGGGGGAGAGAGGGAGCTTTATTTTTGGCTCACGCAAAGGTGGGGGCTCGTTCAGGGCTGAGTGAGAGCGGAATTGACCTCACTTCCCCTTTTACTTCCTAGTTCTCTCAGTCTCAGTCTGACTCTCGGACTGTCAACTTCTCCTGTTTCTGTCTCTGCCACACCCTACTACACAACACACAACTGCCTCAGCTTACACACTCTAACTGCGTCTTTGCTCAACCTCTCTCAGACTACTGTACCAACACCAAATTCTGCTTCACCAACAACCTTACGCACACAATCGAAAAGTCCAACCCCACCAACAATCTGTTTTGTGTCACAAATCTCCCAACTTTAGGCACCATATACAGAGCCGTGGCAACACAGTTAATCTTAGCTTGCTTATAGGATTCCTGCAACCACCTTGTTAAACATTTACCATTATTTACATGTTAGTTTGCACCATGCACACACACAACACACACATCAGGAGAGGGAGAGAAAGGAAAAGAGCGATCAAGTACACACGGACCGGTCCTCAAACACACACACTTTTGGGGTTTTTCTATTTTTTATTCGTCAAATATACTTTTGTTTAGTTTTTCTTTTCGGTGAATTTTTTGAAGGTATTCTATTTAGTTGGCTGATTCATAAAGATAACGCGTTGATCATCCGTGTTTTCCGTGGTGTCAATTTGGAAGGAAGTTGTGGATCAAACAACTCCTACCTTATAAATTTTCAATACCTCCAATGTCCAATGTTCCGTGTGATTGACTTCAGTTCTCAGATTACAGTTTTGTTTGTTTTCTTTATTTCCCGTTATTTATTATGAGAAATGCGTTCGTTTCATCTATAAGTTTTTGTGGATATACGTTAAAATGTGCCCATACTTAGCGACAGACCTGACATGTAGCGGGATTTCCCAGCAAGTGTGATTGAACTTTCGTTTACAGTCCAGTCAACCACATCTAAATCTGTTCCATAATTCCTAGTGGATTTCTCCACGTTATTTATATTAGATAAGTCTGCAACCTGCAGGGTTTCTGCCTTTCGAGCTCAGTAAAAGGTCCGCCCCAGATTGCAGCACTTAACATGGGGTGGTCTGTCCAGGTTCCTCGCCTTTCCAGACTTCCCCGGGCTCCGCAGAGCAGTATCTCTGAGGTCTGTCCAACCTCATCGGGTTAAACTTTTACACAACTGCCAGGGCTTGGCTGCCGGCCAATTATCCAATCGCGCGCCGTGAACTCTATGCCCATAGGATTTGACTTCCCGGCATCTTGTTCACCCACAACACAGATCCGCTCTGCTGATCACTGTTCTCGGGATCTGTTAGCGATACTTCTGTGCCCCCGTAAATATTAAGCTCGAGGCCTGTTCGCTTTACTCCTACTATCCCCGTAAGACACAAGTCAACAGACACTTGGCCAAGATTTTCAGCTGCTTTGACGCCAATGGTTAATTTGTCTGTCTCACAATTTTCCACACACTTTGGAGCAGCCTTCATGTATACATGAATAACACGCGAGAGACTCCGCCCGATTCTGCTTCCTTTGATTCTAGACTCTTTCTTTTGCGAAGGCCCAAACACACGATGGTCTCACCACACAGTGAAATCACACATCTAATAGAGAAATAAACTACTCCTACCTTTTGTGTGCCGGCACGTGGATTTCACTCGCGTGGGGAGGCCAACGCCCCGGGCCTCGGCAAAATCTGGGCTGAAGCTCGCCAATTATTTAGAAGATGACCTCGGTGCAAAAGTGCAGAAATGAACTACACGAAGACAGAATCAAGCTGGCAGCCTCTCGGCGGGGTTTTTATTCCGATCACAGCATTGAACAATAGCTCATGAGCAATCGAACAGACAGAACCAAAAAACAGCCCATCCACATATCTTTTATAGTCCTCCATTGACGTCAGGGACCTTAGTTTTAGCCAAATGTGCGTGCGAAAGTCCCCTTCGTGACTTTCTCTTTTGGAGCCAGATTTCCTGTTATTGTAATTAAGCTACCATGGGAGAGGGTCACCATGACCTGATATGAAGTTTATCCCAATCTGACCACTCCACCCATAACCTGTTTTCTTGCCTCATGGTAACCTCCAAAACATCCAAACATATCTGTTATTTTCCCCCACAATGGACACCTGCTCCCCTGCAGTGACCAGAACCTTTCGATCTTTTTTTCTTTTCTGTTCTTCTAACTCCTCGTTCCTGTGCCTCGTACCCAGGTGAGGTCCAGTATGGCGGCCGGGTGACGGACGACTTGGACAAACGTCTCCTGAACACCTTCACCTGTGTCTGGTTCAGCGAGAACACCTTCAGTGAAAAGTTCTGCTTCTACAAGGGCTACAGCATCCCCAGCAGAGCCAAGACCGTCCAAGAGGTCCTGCAGCACATCGAGGCCCTGCCGCTGGTGGACACCCCGGAGGTCTGAGCATGCTCAGAAACCTTCAGAGGAGCTGGTGAGGACACGATCAGTCCGACTCATTTATCAATGAAACCTTTGTGTTCTTGGTTTCAGGTTTTTGGGCTCCACCCCAACGCTGACATCACCTACCAGACCAACCTGGCCAATGAGACGCTCAGCACCATCATCAGCATCCAACCGAAGGACAGCGGGGGCGGAGCCGGAGAAACCAGGGAGGCGAGTGTCCAAAGACTGGCCACTGAGATGCTGGAGAAACTCCCACCTGACTACGTACCGCACCAGGTGATCAAACATAAACCTTTAAACACCAAAACCACCAAACAAAAACCAGCACCTGAGCCGGGCAAGACCGGAGCTGATTGTGTGTGTGTGTGTGTGTGTGTGTGTGTGTGTGTGTGTGTGTGTGCGTGCTGAAGGTCAAAGGTCAGCTGCAGAAGATGGGTCCACTTCAGCCAATGAACATCTTCCTGCGTCAGGAAGTGGACCGTATGCAGCGAGTCATCAGCAGTGTTCGGAGCACGCTCACTGACCTCAGACTCGCCATCGACGGTCAGTCACGGCGCACACGTGTTACGATGAAACGTTCATGTCCTCATCCTAACATCATCATCATCATCATTATGTTATTATTATTATTGTTGTTATTATTATTTTATTATTATTATCAATAATATAATTATGTTATTGTGATCATTATTTTTATTGGTTTTGTCATTATGATTATTATGATCAATATTATTATTATTGGTATTTTTAATCATTATTATTATTGTAATTATAATTATCATTATTATTATTGTAATTCTATCCTTGTCAGAGTTTTGCTGATCCTCTTCCCTCCTCTCACAGTGTTGCCTGTTTTTATGATCATGTTTGTTTTCTTTCAGTTTTTGTTGAAATAATAAATAAATATAATATTTATAAGAATTTCAACATTGGTAAAGTTCCCTCAGTGTTCCTGTTCTGTGACCCCGGCCCGTTTACGTCTGTAGGGACTGATCCTGTCCGTTTGTTTCAGGAACCATCATCATGTCAGAGGACCTGCGGGACGCTCTGGACTGCATGTTCGACGCTCGGATCCCTCGCCTCTGGTTGCGGCTCAGCTGGCCCTCGGCCACGTTAGGATTCTGGTTCAGCGAGCTGCTGGAGAGGAACCAGCAGCTCAGCGCCTGGATCAGTACCGGGCGGCCCAACCAGTTCTGGCTCACCGGCTTCTTTAACCCTCAGGTCAGATCATTTTTAAAACTCGTCTTAAAACCCATTTTTATTCATTGGCTTTTAACCCTCCATGAGACTCGGCTCCTGTTTTAGTGTTTTATGGTTTGTTTTTAGTTATTTGTTTCTATGTTTTTAAATTAGTTTTTAAAAACATTGAAGCTATATTTTATTATTAATTCTGCTTTTATTTTATCCATTTTTTTAATTGTTTCTTGATTGTTTTTTATCTTGTTGTTTTGTCTGGTTATGTACAGCACTTTGTACAGCTGTGGTTGTTTTAAAGTGCTCTACAAATAAAGTTGAGTTGAGTTGAGTTGAGATCAGAAGGAGGCCCGGTTCACGTGTACACGGATGATTTCTGAAGTTGTGTGTTTCGGCTTTCGTCTCTGTGGAAATGGAGGTTCAGCCTCAGCCTCAGCCAATCAACTTCACCGCTTCCTGTTTATTCCTTCGCAGGGTTTTCTGACCGCCATGCGCCAAGAGACCACGCGCTCCAACGTGTCCAAAGGCTGGGCCCTGGACACTGTGACCCTGAGCAACGACGTCACCAAGATGATGAGGGAGGACGTGTCAGCTCCGCCCCCTGAAGATGTGGGTGGAGTCTACATCTATGGCCTGTTCCTGGATGGGGCAGGTTGGGACAGACGCAGCGCTAAACTTACTGAGGCCCCGCCCAAGGTCGGTGTCATGTGACTTTTACAGAAACAGGAGAAATTTTAAACAGAAATGATAGAAAAAGAAAAAATCATGTTGATTATTTTAGGATCATTCTGCAGCCAAGAGATCAGTCTGTGGATTATTCTGCACCACTGAGAGGGCCAATCATCTAAATGTATTTATAGTTATTTAATAACAGTTTATACCACTTATGTCCACTAGGTGGCAGTATTACTATAACAAACAGAATGTGTAGATCAGTTTAAACTGTGACCATCATCAGATCTGAGAAATTCGGTACAGACCAGATTCTGTCATTTAAGTTAGTCCTGTGTATCTCCACAGGGTGGCGCTATGACTGCAGTAAAGAAATAGGAACATAGATGTGAGAGGAATAGAAAAAAAAGATCTAAAAGTAAAAATTAAAATAATTAGTAAATTAGGAATAAAAGAGGAAGTTAAAATAACTGGATGAAATCTACGGACTCCCATCATCCTCTCTGCTGTCTCCTTTTAGGTCCTCTTTACTCCACTCCCTGTTGTCCACGTCTACGCCGTCAGCTCGGCCAACATGGTCGACAGTAGGCGGCAGCCTGGAGGCGGCGGGGTCAGCCTGTACTCGTGTCCGGTCTATAAGAAACCTCGCCGCACCGACCTGAACTTCATCTTCTCCCTTCAGCTGAGGAGCGTCCAGCCGGCCGAACACTGGACGCTCCGAGGATCCGCTCTGCTCTGCGACTGCAAGTGATCATGTGATCAGATCTGTTATTAATGATGTCACAAAGTGTCAGTTTACAGCTACATTATAGACAAATTACCTATTTCATTCTTCATAGATAATTTTATTGATTTCTATCAAAAATGATTTGATTTTTTTTCATTTATTGATTCGATTAAAATAATGAAGATAATCAGAAAAATGCGACTTTTAACATTTTAAAGAGTTTAAATTTAAGTCTATTTTTTATGCCACTGAAACATTTTCCGGTCCCAACAAAGAGTCAGGTGATCTCAGGTGGTTTTTGGGAATTTAAAGAAAAATCTGTTAAATCACAGAAAATCAAAAGTCCATTTCAGAATCCATAACAGAAAATGTTATTTTGACTTTTTGGGTTTTGTTGAGATAATCTGGGGTTTCCATCATGTCTCTGTCGGTAAATCTCTGAGGATTACACAAATCTGTGACTCTGAATTTCTCCCATTAACACCCACTCTCTTAGCCTCTCTTTACTTCACCTGAACTTCGTTTGATTCGTCCATCAGAGCTCCTCTGTGCTCCCTGATGGACGAATCACAAAAACAGACTTAAATTCTCAGAGAAATACCTGAAAAATTCAAAGAAGACAAATTTAAACAATAAAAACATAACCCATTTTCCAGGACTGAGAAGTTTAAGGCTGAAATCTGCAAACAAAAATAACTTTTTCACATTTTAAATTGAAGGAAAAAACTCAAGTTAAAGAAAGTAAATCACCAAAAACACGTTTTTTCTATTTGACCTGAAAATTTAATCTGACCTTGTTGATCATCGGCACTGCTCGATATTTTACCTTCATGACCTTTTTGATTTTTAACAGTTTTAAATCGATGATCTAAACTTTGTAACAGTGACATTTTTCAATCTACTCTCAGTTTAAAGATAAACTTTTAATCCTCATATCGATGTCTAACCGATCAAAGTAAATCTGTGTGTCAGACCTGAAGAAGTGAAATCAAAATAAATCCAGTCTCTGAATAAACGGACTTCTTCTTTTGTTACAGAAGTGATCCGAGTGAACTTTTATTTTCTCTACATGACAATCAAACACAAATCTGCTTTAATAAAACATCTCTGACAAACTACAGCCATGCAGTCACTCACGAACAAACACCAAAAACTCCAACAACGCTGTAAAAATACGACCGCTGTGATGAAAGAGATACAAGGTTAGTTTAAAGGATGAAACTTTTCCAACAATTAGGAGAGAGACTTCACAGGAAAACTGCCTTTTTCAGCTGAATCAAAAGGTTGGCAGTGATGAATGAAGCTAAAGCAGCTTTCATGGATTAGAGATAAAGAAATGTTGAAGAATAAATAACCGGGTCAAGATGAAGTGGAAAAATCTGCACTAACAAACTCTAACTTTACAGGAACCTCACTCAGAAAATGATGACCTCCACAAAAACTTAACTTAAAAATGATTTAAAGGGACCGTCTTAAAAAAAACAAAGTTCTGGATCTGAACCAACTATTCACCAAAACTCCACAAAAATACAATCAAACCAGCAGATAAGAGCAGGACCAGCATTGACATAACAACAACAGTTCTTTAAATGGCACTAAACGTGGTTCTGAAGTGAGGCAGAAACAGGACAGGGTCACTCATTTCATCAGAGGAGTTTGGTGGCTCTTCATGGAGCATCCTAACGTCTCTACTCCAGGACTAAAACCTCCTTTCTGTAGGGCGGGAGGACTCCTAGACCAGCAATCTGAACCTGTTAGGGACAAAACCCAGAACTCCTAAGACTGAAGGCAGAGAAAAGTACCTGAGTTAGTCCAAAACAGCTGATAGGTGTTCGTCTGATAACCCCTAAAATATGTTAAAACTTATGTCCCATAAAGAAAACACCTGAATTCATCATAAGAATCATGTTTATCCATCATCAGATAAAGACTCAGACAGTCTGGACGTCTCTCTGTCAAACTTCTAAACCTAGTTTTGTTATTAAGGCTGAAACTCAGACCTTCTGTTTTAATTATTCAGTTAATTTAAGATCATTTTTCTTAATTTTTTCTCATGGTTTTGTTTTGAGTTTGATTTTATTTCTTGAAATTTTTTGTTTTGAGTTTTATTCTGGATTTCAACAGTTCTGCTAACTTTCCTTCAAACACTCAGGTCGGTCGTGGCCGAATGGTCTCTGGTCAACTTCCACTGTTTACAGTCCAAAGATCTTCACAGGTCCTCTTTTGAGTGCAGTAAACAATAAACTGACTTCTGTGACAGGTCCAGATGAGGTTCTATTCCTCACTAGGGTCTACAGATCCAGATCTTTGGACCTGTGAAGGCACTATCTGAACACACAACCTCCTCTCCAGACTCCTGACACTCAACAGTTCATCAGTCACATCGATCTCCAGTGACACAAAGCTCTTCACATTTTAATCAATCCACCTGTACTGGGTGCAAAACCTTCATCACTTTTTTCTCCAGGTGAGGTGCAGAACCAGACGAACCAGAACCAACATTTCAACATCTTCAGCATGCAAACACAAGTGAACAGCATCTGTGTGAGGATGAGAGAGTTCCTGAATTTTCACAGTCAATGTCACAAAACAGTGAAAGAAAGTTTATATTTGCTGATTTGATCAAAAAAGTCCGGACCGCGTACTTGCGTATGAAAAGCCTCAGAGTTTCTTTGTTTTCTTGATGTTCAGTCAGTCTGGATCTGAGACCGGCCTGTTCTCTGCTCACTTCCTTCAACAAACCAAAGTTCCTCTTCGTCTCTTTCACTCCTGCAGCTCTGCTCTGTAATAGCAACCCTTCAAACCCTGCCCCCCTCCTTCCCTCTGTGCGGTCTTAGTGGTCCAAATAAAACATCCCAGATCTCGTCAGAGTCTTGTGGTTTACGATAGCTGCTTCATGTCGTACATTGGCACCTCAGACTCGGCTCCCTTCCCTTCATCTTCAGCGGACTTGGCAGCGTCCGGGCTGCCCTTACGCCCTTTTGGAGGGGCCACCGGCACGGCTCCCTCTGCGGCTCCCTCGGCTCCTTCCTGGCCCTCCGCCACAGTCCTCTCCTTCTTCAGGTTCAGCTTGGCGGGGACGCTCTTGGTGATGGTCTCCTTCAGCCTCTCTCCTGACTGCTTCAGCCTCTCACCAGACTGGCGGATCATCTCACGCCTCTCAGCTGTCACGATGCGCTCGCCGAACTTGTTGACCTTGGTGCCTAGGTTATTGCGGGTCTTGCTCATGTTCTCCTTGGAGAAGGTGGCTTTAAAACTCTCGATACGTGTCAGCCCTGTCTTCTTCAGGCGGCCAGCAGACGAGGAATCTGCCTCCTCCACCACCATGTACTCCTCATCCGACTCCGGAGGGAGCTCAAACTTGTCCGGTTCCATCTCGGCTCTGGCGCCGGCACTGCTGCCGGGTTCTGCTGGTTCATTGCCTGGTGTGACAGACTTCACCTCCTGGTCACCCTGAGGAAGCAGAACAGAGAAGGTCAACTCGAGTGAAGATCACATATTTTGTAAGTTCATGACCTGGACTTTGTGCTGAAGGGAAAACTGTTTGAAAAAAGGACTTTGGTCTGTTTCAGGTGGAACCAGTTTCAACGGGGATGTCAGCTTAGACTGTAGTACCGAACACAGGATTTCCATTGCATCCGGAACGGCAGTGATTTTAGATTTACGCCAATTCCTACTGAATCTGTTTGTGAGGCAAATTTCATGGCGAATTACGGACAGCGGGAATCGCGAGAACTCACAACAACCTGTGGGGTTCTCATGATCATCACGTTCAATCGTGCGATAACGAGTTGTCTCTCTAATGACAGACACAAAGACATATAAGCAGTAGATTGTGTCCTTCCAGAGGAGGAAATCTACTTCTAGACTTCTAGAATCAGCATCTCCTCATCCATGGTGTCATCGGGGTGAAATGACATCTAAAACCCTTCACTTGTTCGTCCCCGGCCTTTTGGAAACTGACACATTAACTTGACCGGTTACGGCCTCTTCATAGCCGTTCTGGATGCGGTGGAAATTGGGGGTAAGGATGACTTAGTAAGGACCGGTCTGTGAAGGTCCTGGTCCTACTTGGACTTGACAGAGTTTTTCCATAGTTTTGCCTTTGCTTTGACCAAACTGGATCCAGGGTTCCCAATCCTCCTAAATCTCTGACTCAGTCATTTACCTCAAAGTTTTGGTCATGGTACTCCTCTGTTCCAGGCCTTTACTTGATCTAGGCCTCTAGTAGACTTGGTCTTGACTCAGTCCTTGTACCACTAAGTCTTAGGCTGCTTTCACATCTAATCGGTTTTATTCAGTCACAGCGAATTCAAGTCTGTCTGCCGAGTTTGTTTACATTTGTAAGAAAGCTACTGATCTAACCCGGGTACAGACCAAACAACCGTACCAAGACTGCATTAACGTTGGGTCTCAGATCTTTTTATCTGCACCCTGGTGTGTTTTGATTGTAGTGAGGACATGTACCTCCTTTGACCTGATCTGACTACTGTCTCAGTCTTAATCCCCTTGGTCTGAAACACTGCTGGTCATGACTTGCGCTCGGCTAAGGTGGTTTTGTCTGCAGGACTAGTGTCAGGTTTAGATCTGACTCTACTTAAACTGTGTCATGCAGACTTTAGCTGTTAGCGTGCAGGCCCTGATCCTCCCTCCAGAAATAAACCGCAGCACCTGTTTCTGCAGCTCAGCGCTCAGCTGCAGCAAGCTAAACATATCAGGGAGCAGCAGTGTACTGAGCAAATCTGGATCACTTTCAGCTTCAGACCACGTCACGGCGTGCTCCAGTCTGAAACTGAAGGATCGCGTTACTCTGAGCATGAGATGGAGCAAAAATGTTAATAAGGCCAAAGCTGCAAACTGACCCAGATCCCTGCTGCAGGTCACTTTGGGAACATTGATACTGATTAGAGACCAGAAAGTCCAGCGCACTTACTCAGGAACTGACCCCAGCGTCGGGTCCTAGGACTGCTGCACAGAAGACTTAGCTTTGGTGCTTTGGTGTTTAAGTTCATCAAACGGTCCACCAACATCTGTCAACACCCCAGGAAACCTTAAAGAAGTCACGGCACGAGTTTGTTCTTCAGCTGAGGAGCTGATCATTTCTGAATCTCTCCAGGATGAAGAAATCCAGAGAGTTCAACAACTTCACTCTCTGTTCACAAACTCTGCTGTAACATACTGATGGATCATCAAGATCTTTCATTACAAGCACTACAGAGACTGCAGCGGACGACACCTGATCGAGAGGCTGACATTTCCAAAGCTTTAACAGAATACATAACTCTCATTCCTGAACCTCACAGCAGGGGGGAGAGCATGGTAGCATGCACAAGTACACTAACTATCTTAAAGTTAGAAGGTTTTAGGGTTAAGCATCCAGAAGCTGATGAAGCTGATACAAACACCAGGGCTCTCAAGTTTTGAACTGAGCTTAGAGTGAGATTTTTTTTCCTTGGGGGGTGGGGATTTATTGAAGATAATTGTTATTATAATAATCTAATAAATACAATGGAGTATAAGGGCTACATTAAGAAAAAACAATGTTTTTTTCTTGGAGATTAAAGTTATTATTTAGGAGAATAAAGTCATTAATTTATAAGAATAAAGTCGTAAAGTTACCTGTTGTGGAGGAGAGTTGTTAAAATGAGCACTGAGGAGCATTTAGATGAATTATACTTTAGTATAGTTTTCACAAACATGGAGATACTTAATCCTTTGGTACATGAGCATTACACTGTCAGAACTTTAAAAAGAATATATGAGAAATGCTGCTTTTGTGGAGGGGAAAATGGCTGTACAGAGACTAAATTCATCAATACATCAATAGCATAGGGCTTTAGTTTATCATATGAGTTTATATGCCTTTCTCGTCCTTATGAAAACCTGCTCTAATTCGGCGAGTGTCTGTCTTCTTCTGTAGTCAAACCGCAAGATATCAAAATCTACCCGGATACAGCAATGCTGCTTTTTGATTGGCTGTTCAGTAGATATACTTTATTTGATTGGCTTACGCGTGGCACGCAGCTTCTGAACTCTCGGAGGAACTCACTTGATTCCTACCTGTTCCATAGTTAAAGAGGTGCAACTTGTGGACATCACCATGTTCATTTAAATGCGTGAGAAATACAATGTGTGGCGTGTGAACGGGTAGGAATGCGTGTGTCACACGCTGAATGCGTGAGACTTGAGAGCCCTGAAACACAGTTTGGGTTTTGGGGAGTTCCTGACCATCAGCAGCTTCCTGAGCTCTGCAGAGAAGTGTGGTGTCCTCTTACCTGGACAGAGACTACAACCAGAAACTACCGTTTTCATCTGAAGCCCCGAACAGATGAACACGTCTATTCTAAAGGAATCTGTTTGAATGATTCCAGATTAAATAGATCAGTACAACATTAATCTGGGAGCTTCAGTGGATGGAGTCAGGCTAGCTGTCCTCCTCTGTGCTACGCTAGGTTAGCTACGTCCTTTCTCCAGCTGTTTACTAGAAAGAAACACACCAACTGTTCTTCAGCTTTGTCACATGATCGTCACGCAGATTTCTAGATCCCAATCTTGTTCAAGCATCTGTGATCTGACTCTCATATTTCTGTGTCCATCCGTCTGTCCGGGGGGACATGGCATGTCATTAATGACCGACATGGTAAAATGGATCACAGACAACTTGGGCGTGATCAGACGGTCTCTTAACATTTTCACTTGGAGAACAACTGATCTTTTACGTCTGTTTGTGATGAACAGAAATTAACATCAGCCCCGAACCTGCTGCCACAGAAAGGGTCCAGGAAGGTCCTCCTGAAACACGGAGTGTTTTATTTTGAAAAGAAGCCGGATGTTTTATTTTGTGTCCGTGCCCGACTTCCTTTCCAGCACGGGTTAATCTGTGCTGACCTTTTAACTTGAACGGTTACGATCAGCTACGATCGGCGAATACGGCCTTTTTGTAGCTGTTCTGGATGCAGTGGAAATTGGGGGTAGGTTTTGGATCTCTGCAGAGTCCTGGTCTGAGAACTTTGTCAGTAGTTTTCTAAAGTCCCTCAGAGCTGAAGCTTCATTAAAAACATCTAAACATTTAAAAATCATGAACATGAACCCAGTGACTCAGAAAGGAGTCCTCTCAGCACCACAGCATACAGATGTCAGGCTTTCAGGAGGGAGAGTGGTCAGAACGGGTGAAAGGTCGTGACCCTGTGACATCACAGCCTCTGCTCCAGCTGACTGAGGGGAATCGAGGAGTGAGTTTAGCCGGTTAGCTGCTAACAGCATGAGTTACAACCAGGAGGTCGTCATTCACTCGTCCAGAGAGAGAGAGGAAGGGCGAGAGAGCAGACCACTATATTAGGAGATGGTGGAGGCCGAGACTCAGAATAACCCGGTCTGTCAGCGCTCAGCTGGCACAGTCACTTACAGTACAGAGACCTGCTAACTGCACACAGTCTGCTGGTCTTATTAGCAGGTTATCTGTTCCCTTTACCTTGACGTCTGAGTTTCACACATTTATAGATCGTCAACCCGTTTCAGAGAAACAAGAGAACGAAGTGAAACGAGTTCTTCCTGAATCACAAACTCAACAGTTGTCTCTAAACTGGGCCTCAGTTCCTCAGGACTCCATCACAATAATAACTGAGATCAGGAAGTAAATGAGTCCTCTGACGACAGGGTCACTTTTATTATTCAGGCATGTGTACTGTCATGTTCCTTCATTAATATATGCAGTTAGTGCACGTGTAAGCGCTCGTCTGGCATCAGTGGTCTGGATTTATACCACCATCATCCAGGGCTGCAGGGTGTGTCAGCAGACTGAAAACTTGGTTTTCTTTTAAACCCCTAAAAAAGGCCGAATGTCAGGAGGTAAAAGTCATAATGTTGCTAAAATAAGCTTCACAATGTCGTTAGTCTAAGGACTCTGAGAAGAAAGAGAAAAGACGAGACCTGTGGTATCTCCCTTCAAACAGACTAAAGACTAAATTCTCATAAAATAAGGACTTTAATCTGAAACATCACAGCTTTATCCTCTAACTGCTGATCTTAATCCTGTAATCTAATGACTGTAATCTTGTATGATAATGATTTTGTTTTAAAAATCTTATTTTTGTTCTGAGGGATGCCTCACGAAGCTCTCAGCCCTCCTGTTCTCTTCACAGATATGTTTTCATGAATTTAAGTCCACAGTCAGTGTAGATAAACTCCACAGACGGTTTCTTCCTCGAGCCACAAACATGTTTGTGGGAATTTGGAGATCGAAGGAACTGGTTTGTCTTTAATATCATGTAAAGTTTCAGTGAGTTAGTGAGTGAACGTTTGAGAGGTAGAAACATGAATGTGACAGTCCAGACCATGAACCAGACCTGCAAGTAATATCAGTAATAATATTTATTTTAATTTTCTACTGCAAAGAATTATACTAGATATCAACACGGTGAACTTCCGGGTTTCTAGCCTCCAACCATCATGATGTAAACTCTGTATTAATGTGCACCAGGCAGTTTAACATGCAGCAGCTGCAACCAGCCAATCACAGGGCTTCTCTGAGGTGTGATCGGCATGTGATCTCCCTGCAACCTGACCCTGTCCACTGCAGACTCCAGATTACAGTAATGAACCGCACCCCATCCAGCAATTCAAGAATCCAGCTCCACACTTTACTGTAGAGAGACGTCCTCAGGCTCCTCTGAAACCTGCTGGACTCTGAATTCTTAGTCTCTGCCTCAATCTCCTGGAGTTAGACGATCGAAATTCTCCATCAGCCCACTGAGTGATGCAGCACAGACTGACATTTAGGGGGCATCAGTAACCAGGCACTATGGCAGTAATGGTCATTTGTGATTGGTTGGAGAAACACACTCACAAAAAAACTCCTTCCTAATCTGAATGGATACAAAGATTCACTAAAGCTGAAAGAGAACCGGGCGGAGCTGCACCCAGATTTCTCTGTGGACCTCTTGCTCCGTCTACTTCAGCGTAACAACCAAAAAATTGCTCACAAACTGTTTTTTATGACCAAAACCCTCCTGAGGTCCAGATCTGTGGTGTAACCTTTCAGCACACTGACGTTTATCCAGGGCTAAAATAACCGGGTCACCACTGAGCTGGCAGCTGCTAACTGTGAAGGCCAAAGAAGTAAAGTGAAGCCTGCTGTGAGTGTGCTCGCTGCTATTTCAACTCCAGAATGAACTGAGCTAATGCAGTCTGCTCATGTTCGAGGAACTCGGAGGTCTGAGTCAACACCAAGAGCATCGCTCAAGGACCACAGGTGTCTTTGGACACTTCTCTGAAACGTGGAATTTCCTCTATCCAGGACACATTCGAGTGATCTGCTGTCTTAATGTTCAGTCCTCCTAACCAGCAACACCCTCCTTTCCCACGATTCAGTCCCCAAATCCAAACTTAATGCCACACAGACAATGTTTTTGGTCCCATGATGGGTGAAAACACAACCCTAGCTGCACTGGTTCAGGATGTGGAAGAGGGCCACGGGTCTACGTGGGTCTTTGTTGCCAAGAATCAACCAGAAACATGAACAGGGCTAATGCAGGAGGTCAGACTCAAGGATCCAGGACTTTAGTTTGGTCTCTTGTAGATTTTTGAAGACTGGTTCCAGTGTGTTGGGGTGAGGTTTGTCCATCTCAAACCTTGTAACACCTTGTCTGGTTTAAGGTAGACGAGTTTACCGACTCTGAGTCATGACTCGAAATCCCACGATCTGTACAACTATGTTTATCTGCTCATCCAGAAACCAGGACCAAACCTTGGTACACAAGGAGAAGGTCTGTTGGGATCATTTCCAAAGAATCCTGTCAGAACCTAAAGGGTCCATTTCTATCTGACCCAGAGTTCCCATCTTAATTCCAGAATTGATCCCAGATACTCAGCAGTGAAGCAGACTCATCTCAACCACAGAACCACCAAAGTCTTACCTGATAAATGACCACCCTGAACTTGTTCTTGGCCAGAAGATCCCCCTGCGTGGCCTCCACCTTCTTCACTCTGACGTTCTGGTTCTCCACACGCACCCTGACATCCTTGATGTGGCGGCTGACCTTACGCGTCTTCTCCAGCAGCCGGTCAACGGTGGAGCTGGTGTTGGCGTGCTCGTTGGTCAACTTGACGACATCGGCCTGGATAGTCTTGACTGTGTTCTCCAGTTCCAGCTGACGCTCCTCCATGCGCTGCTGCGTGGTCTGGACTGTGTCCATGAGGCCCGCCACGCGCTCCAGCAACGCCATGATGCTTCCTGCATCATCCCCACCGCCTGTCACGGCACCTTTGTCCGCCATGCTTTCTTGTTTGCTTCTTCACCTTCAGCTGAGTGGGGATTCGGTGGTCTGGTTGCTCGGATCAACTGTTGAAGCCCAGTGACTCAAATGCAAAGGGAGAGGGATCAGGAGGAGGTTCAGCTAGATCTTTAGTCCAGTCTCTGAAGGACCAGACGATCAAAACCACCACGAAGTGAAGACAGGGAGCCGAGGAGCATTGGTGGATCCAAAGAAAAAGAGAGAGCACAAGAGAGGAGGACAGGAGTACCAGATCCCCCCTCAAGAACTGGAGGCTGACCCTGACAGTGGTCAGATCAAGTGATAGACTCCACCCAACTGGGAAAAGGGGGGTTGAGCGGAGTTAGGAGGAGAGGAACAGGATGGAGGGGGCAGAGTGAGGCTAAAATGAGAGAGAAGGTGGAAGTAGAGGCAGAACTGACTCTAACGACCAGTTATCAATCAGTAATCAATCATTAATCAATCATTAATTCATGTTTCTGTCATGAAGAGTTAAACTTTATTATGAAGAGACTCAACAACAAAACTCAGCTGAGGCTCACTTCATCCTCCAGGTCTGTTTTACAGACCCTGAGAAACTCTGAGCGCCTCTTCGGTGTTTCTGATTGTGATGAAGAAAGAGTGACATGGATCCTGGCTGCTCTCTGTGTTCTCTGCTGCTAAAAATACCGCCACGGTAAAGTGACTCCCTGCACCTCTTTGGGAGATGAGTATATTTGAAGGAATGGAAACCCCCTCCCATCTATTCCTCCATCATCCATCTATCATCTGCCACCTTTTCACTTCTTCTGTCTTAATCTCTCCCTCCAGGTTTAGACCTCTCTGCTGTCCCCGAGCCTCCAGATCAACAGCTAAGTTTCCTAAAAGAATTCCTCAATGCTAACCCTCGCCTCAGCTGCCATCTTGGTCTGTTACTAAAGCCAGGTGGTCCAAATTTGTACAGAGGGGAGGAGCCTGGGAGGAGCGGAGGTGGGATGAGTGAGCAGCAACCGATATAACTCACTGTGACAAGGGGCTTCAGTCAAAACCTCAAATCTGACCTTTAAACCTCAATATCTGATCAAAGTGATGCTAACGGGAGAGAGAGAATAATGAACCAAAATATCCTGATGCTGTAATTTAAGAATCTTTACACTCTAATAAGTGAGTAAAGAAAGAAAAATGAGGCTTTAAAAGTGATTTTATTGATGAACTGAAGTGTGTCAGAGTCTTTTAGTGTTTTATGTAAATAAAGACTTTATCTGATTAAATAAGAGCGACACGTGTCTGTCACACTGAACCAGGTCAGGATTCATTAAACCGGTTCAACGAGTGACAAACTACAAACGGACACTGGGAATAATGGGGGCAGCCTGAAGTTTTGGTGACAGCCTCTAGTGGACATTTAGAGAACTGCACTTAAAGCACTTTTACGTTGACTTCAGTTTTGAACAGAACTGAATAAAGAGAAGTTTAAAGGTGACACACACGGCGGTTAGACGCCAAGAAACTTTCCCGCTTATTCTTTGGGAGGAGGTTAAACTCAGGGACTAATTCAGCTGACACCTGCCATTCGAGGAGGCCACGCCCCTTAATTACACTTAATCTAAAGTGACAGGTGAGTTCTCCGTGGATTCTTTCTGTAGAGGTGTTATAAAAAGAGTATTGAGGCTGTGAACATGTTCATCTCTGCTGTGGAAGTGTTTGAACACGGGGCTGACTCACTTTAGGGACAGACCCTGGTGGTCCCTCTGTCTCCATGTCCAGGTGAACCAGAAGTGAGGCTGAGTCAGCATTTCGCTCTGCTTCGAAACGCCGCTTCAGTAACCATGGGTGATACCGTCTACAGTGAAAACCTGAATCTGACACTGACTTATCTCTGATTTCTGAGCCCAGGCAGCGTCTTCTCATGGAAGAGGAAGTCAGAGCGCCCTTGGAGGTCCGAAGAGCCTCCAGACTCCTGGAGAGTTTCCAACAGATGATCAAAACACACAAGAGAGAGAGAGAGAGAGAGAGAGGAGGATGGAGGGACGAGGTGAGAAAGGAGAGATGGAATCAGGTGGAGGGATGAGGGGACTCCCCGCGGTCCCAAAAGTCTGCACCAGCTGCTGCCTATAATTATCCTGCCGTCACTTCTATATTTACCTCCACCTCCCTGTGAGAGACACACAAGCCGGCGGGAGCGCTTGGTTTCCACTCCTCATTCACTGGCGGTGGGCGGAGCTTGGAGTCTGCTGGGTTTGTTCATGTGCAGTCAGTTTAAATCTTCATAGTTCTGATTTAGACTCATAAAAGGACGGACGAGGTTTAGTTTTCAGACATCATAATTTAATTCTAGTTCAGCTACAGAACAGTCTAAACATCAACTTCACTGGTTCATGCATTATGCAACATCTACAGTAAATCAGGCCGGATCCCCGCAGCGCAGCCAGACTTCAGGGAGACCCCAGCTTATTGAGTCTACTCCTGCTACCACAAAGAGACCACCAACACGGACACTTGGTACCATCATTACAGGTTATAGAAAAGAAAACTCCACCGTTTAAATTATCATCAGCTCGTCAGAAACACTCAAAAAAACCTGAAAATGAGGCAATAAAATAATCAGAACAACAACAAGAAGAACCTGTACATGTGAGTCTGTCCATTATCTCTGTAAGCAGTAGAAAAAACAGCATTTTGGTTTTCAGGTGCGCCATAACAAATACAATAAAAAAACAAGTTACATGAAGAGAAGATTTGACCCTGTGAGACGCAGAGAAAACTAAAACAGCAGAAACACCCAGAGGGCTTCAGTGGTCCCTGATAATCCTGTGGTCCTGGTACAGAGCGCCCCCTGGAGTATTAAGGCTTTAAGAACACAAATAAACAGAATGGAGAGGAAGAAGGAAAGAGTTTAACACCGTCTGCAGTTTGGATTCATCAGAGGGATGATCTGAACCGTGAAAACTGATGACAGAGTTTAACCATTAGGACGTCATCGTCGTTTTCTTCCACTTGTTCGGGTCGTGAGGGCAACAGCTTCAGGAGGGAAGCCCAGACGGTCCTCACCCCAGACACTTCCAGGCGAGAGATATAATCCCTCCACCTGGTCCTGGGCCGACCACGAGGTCTCCTCCCGGTGGGACATGTCTGGAACACCTC